ATACCATAGAATCAACAATATTAAAGATACGACCCAAAACAGTTTCTAGTTACAATTAATAAGATTTATTATGTCTAAAGATAATTACAAAAGAAAAGAAAATATAATGACAATCTTCAACTTACAGTATGGTGGATCTCGTACCGGTACACAGTTAATACAATTAGAAATAATGATGCCAATAAATAATGCGAAATAAACACATATGAGCACACAAATTATAAAACAAAGAATAAAACACGCCTCGTAATGTTAAGAAAATCTATCTGAAAAATCTTCGTCCTTTCGAGCCTGTCAATCCCTTATATAGGTGGGTCTACCAACGCCCAAGCCCTGCCTTCGACAAGCTACATGGCATTTCTAGAACCATCAGAATCATTCTACAAAACTCTACTTGGAACAGATTAATTATTTTTAGTAGTTGGCGGCGTAAACAAGAATACATCAAAAGCCTAAGCCACACCCCTTTGTGAACACAGCGTCTCATGCGGGGTCCATCGGAGGGCACGCACGAGAAATATTATATAAACAAGCTCTCTATAACAGTACACATGCGAACACATCAAAGCAAAATAACCCAAAGTTCGTCACTTTAACCAAACCCTTCTAGCATATGCTGATGGCACAGCACTGTTAGGGAAAAGTAGTAAAGTTAAATCAAAAGCGTTTCTTGAATTACAAGAAGCAACATCACTACAAGAAGGGCAGGAAGTTAACAACCAAAGAAAAAAATATTACATGACTTTGACAAGAGACGAACAGACCACTGAAACTATTACAGTTACACACCACCATACCTAATGAATGAAATAAATGATTTAATATTAGAAATAATGGAAAGAATATCGGCTGGAATCAGGGCGTACTTCAGTAGTTAAAAGTACTCAAATTTAAAATTGTATTTTCACAAGAAGAAAATAATAAAATTATATAAAAATTGTTATCAGAACATTTATAATATACCCAATTAAAACTTTTACTCTAAGAAAAATAGCTGAAGCCCAATTAAAAACATGGGCAGAAAATAAATTTTTAAAATTGCAATTTTTGATGCACAGGCCAAAATATAAAAACATTACAGCCCCCTCCAAATCTCTCATATATTTTATTAAGCTTTTAATAAAAATGAATACAAACATCATCGCGATGACAACCCCCCCCCCACGTACACCACGACACATCTTTTCCACGCCCCTGAGCTATATTTAATTTTCTTTTGTACAATACCAACCCCTTTATAACGCAATTAGTAGCATTTTCAATTTTTTGTTTGTTATATTAAGCGCTACGGCTTATTCCGTATATTTAGATTTATAATTACTAAAAAAATAATAATAAAGCATACATAAAATCAATTCTGAATTTTGTTTGGCGTGGAGATAGTGATATAACAATGTGCAAGTTTATAATTTTCCTCACCTTAGCACGCCCAGAGTTATATTAATATTTTACTTTCGAACCCACCTTTTTATCACGCATTGTGCTGATTTTTTTTAAAAATATTTTTTTCTTAACCAAAAATTCGACGAATATTTCTTTAAATTAAAAAAAAAAATTAGAGAATTTTTAAAAAAATCTATACCTACGTTTAAAAATGTAAAATAATCCAGAATGGAGAGACTAATTTTAAAAGAATCAATAGCAACTTCATAGAATTTGGTTCGAGGCAATTTAATAAATTTTAAAATATTTTGGAACGACGATTTCCTTAATGTGTTCCTTTATAAATGTAATAAATGCAAAATTTTCATATGAATGATTACGAAACTTGAATAAAAGCAGATATATTTCATCATTTTTAAATTGTTTTGAAGTTTGCAAATAACTGACAACTTGAATACATTGTTTTATAGATTTATATATTGTATTTATATCGATTGGATGTTTCAGCCTAACATGGCAACGGTAGCTCATTCTTAGTAAAAATGTGATATCGTCACAAAAAGTTTGATACATTAACATAAACTTATATTTAATTATAAGATCATGCGTATTAAAACAAATAAAATTGTTACATGTTCTTGTAGACATATATAGGGCCTACCATTCATTATTATATTACTACAACAGGAGTTCTTTAACGGCCGATTTCTACGTTACAGACATACTTTATACATCATGTGTTTCTAAATTGTTAAAGGTTCGGGCAACCCTAAAAATGTATGTGCACATAAACTAAATTTATGATCAATAAAACTTGGACCAACTTATTCTTAAACTTACAAAGAAAATTCTATATACCATTTTCAATACATTTTATCTTTACGGAATTTCTTAAACTGATAGCTTCAATTAAAATGTAATCAACATGTTGCCTGTGTTTTCTACTATATTATCATAAAATCGTATACAAAGATTTCTTGTATCTAAAGAATAATCTCAAACAGATTTTCAGTTCTGTAACAGCCTTGAAAGACTTTTTTTTTACAAAGAAAATTTTAATCTCATAACCATAGACACCCATTTTACCAGTGGCAAAGTAAAAACAAATATATAATATAGTTCCAAGTTTTGAAAGTAAATTTTAATCCATCCAAATGTTTCAAAAGTGAATGTTTACGTTTGTAAGATGCATACTTATATCAATGTACCCAGGTTTTGTAAAGATCATTGATTTTCTTTATGAGACATTCACAATATCACAGACGTCATCTTTGTATTTACTTAAAATAACTTAATTTTAATTTTATTTTCAATATTAACAACTATCTAAAACGCACTAAAAACGAAAGATTTTTGGGTTTTCCCGATAAATGTGAATACCATGTATTATTTAAATCGTACCCCCCCCCCCCCCATAACTTTCAAATTAGGATACAATACTTAAACTATTTCCTCTTTCTATTTTATACATGTTCTTGTAATTTAGAATAATAATACTTTAAACTTATCTTTTAAAAAAAGCGAATACCCTTTTTTTGTTTTGTTCATTTAAATCTATGCCATTTCCGTAAATTAAATGAAAATCACTATCATTGTTTTTAAGACTCCGAATAATCAAATAGCTTCATTTCTTTGGCGTTATGATCATCATAGCTCATTCTTTATATTCATATATATATATATATATATATATATATATATATATATATATATATATATATATATATATATATATATATTTTTTTTATTTTTTTTAAAATCTCAAAATAAAAAAATAGCTTTATTTCTGTTGGGTTATGATTATCATAGCTCATTTTTTATATATATATATATATATATATATATATATATATATATATATATATATATATATATATATATATATATATATTGTCTTCTGTCAGGTTCACCAAAACACTGCATAGAAAAATTGCAGAAAGTTCAATACTCAGCTGCTAGGCTAGTTTTAAAGGCAAAAAAACGTGATCACGTCACTCCCCTACTCCATTCCCTTCATTGGCTCCCTACACAGGCACGCATTGACTACAAGTTGTCTGTTCTCTGTCACAACTTTTTCTTGGATTCCTGCCCTTCCTATCTAACCGAACTTCTTTCTGTCTATTCACCCCTTCGACAGCTTCGCTTCTCTGCAGACACACGTATTCTGTCCGTTCTCAAGACACACACTAAAACATATGGTGAACGATCTTTCTCTTTCTGCGCCCCCAAACAATGGAATACTTTGCCACTACACATACGCAATATACCAACCACCCAGGCCTTCAAAACTGCACTAAAAACATATCTTTTTAAATAATACTACCCTGACTGATTCCCCTCCTCTGACCGATAAACGATCTTGCTGGCTGCCGTCCATGGTTTGCCTTGTAAAAGATATGTGGTGGGGTGGGTGAATATACATTAATGTTCTTTATTTCATAAATGTATTTTATGATTATGTCTCTTTTGATAAAATGTTTATGTACAGCGCTGTGAGCCCAGCCCTAGGCTGGGGTACCGCGCTATATAAGATCTCTTATTATTATTATTATATATATATATAACCCGCAAAATTGTTTTCTGTTCTTTTTTTATTTAAAAAAAGAGGAATTATAACTAATGTATCCTTTTATTTGTGTCTGTAAATTTCCAGTCAGCCTAATTGATTATTAAATTTTTATTCAGAAATATTAACATTTTAAATACTTAACAATAATGGTTTATAATAATACAGCTTTCCTCATTCTTTTCTGCCTTTCATCTTTTATTTCATATTTATTCAAATAAATGTGATAGAAATGTGATAGAAATGTGATAGAAATGTGATAGAAATTTCTATTTACAATTGAACATTTTAGCATGTTTTTCAGTATTGAAGAACATGAATGGCAGAAATGAAATATAAAACAAAAATATGTTTTATATCAATAGTATGAGTTACTTGATTTTTAAACTACATGTGGTTTAATAATTTATGCGTAGTTTTTAAAAAATGACATTTGAGGAAAGGAAAACTTATTGGTATTAATTTATTAATGTTAATTTTCTAAAATAATGTGGTCGCGCTTTGCTTTAAGAGTTTCGTTTTCTTAGGTTGTTTTTTTTTTTTTTTTTTTTTTTTTTTTTTTTTTTTTTTTTTTTTTTTTTTTTTTTTTTTTTTTTTTTTTTTTTTTTTTTTTTTTTTTTGTATTATTTTTATTTTAATTTATAATTTACTCTACTCAGCGTTTTTAATTTTTGTTTTTTTATTTAAAAAAAAAAAAAATTCATGTAACAATAACAATACAAACAATGAATTAAAAATTAAAAAAAAAATTTTTTTCTTTATATATGTGTTTAATAATTGTGTATTTGACACAGATTTTTATAATTTCCTTGTGTATTTTACTTTTTGTATTTGTAAGTTTACAGATTTTCTTGGCTAAAAAAAAGTTTTCTGTTGACACTTATTCTTTTGTTTCCTCTTCTTTCAAATCAAGTCCTGTTGTTGTTTTTTTCTTAGGTGAAGTTAACCGACTAAGCAGTTTTCGTTCTTTGAAAAAAATATATTTAAAAGTACTTCATTATATACATGTCATATTGATCTTCAGTCATATTACTTCGCCTAAACCTTTTTTTTTACCATTTATCTCTCTCTCTCTATTTTTACTTTACAAAAACATAATTCATTTTCTCTTTTATTCTGTTCATATCCTTTTATTAGTCTTTTCTCAAATGAAAACAGGTTCGTATTTGTTGAAAACTATATTTTCGTATGTGACCTGACAAATAAGTATTCCAAAACCAACCTTTCTGTGAACTGAAACGTAAATCCTTCATCTAAGTAATTCTGATATAGGTTTGGGTCATCCGAAGAGGGCACAAGGATTCGTGTTTCTCCACGAACCAAGAACGTTTCGTAATCAACAGAATCATCCACATTCTGTGGCTAAGATGAAAATATTAAACATTAAAAAACTAGTCGGTTGCAATATTTCACGAACCATCAACATAGAGTTTTAACAAAATATATATACAGAAGTTCATACAGTATTTCATTTTCATCTTAATCCAGTATTTTTTCTAGCACTAGTTTTTTTGTTTTAATTCAACTTAAATATCACTTCTTTAAATTTAAGTTCTATTTTAGATTCCACTATATTTTGAATTTTACATTCTACAGCATATTTTTTTTTAAAATACACATTAAAATATATTTTCTTTGAGGAACTTCTGCAATAATAAGAGTAGGTAAATATACGTGCATTGGGATCATGCCTTCTACAAGAGACAATCGATTAGCTCATTGGCACTTTCCGCGACCACTGCTGCTCGTTAGTCGAAAAAGTGAGCAACGATCATCTCCCACTGCAAGTTAGCGTTCCTTATATTTCTTTCAAAAGCGTCATGTAAGAGGAGCCACGGCAGCCCAAATAGTCTTGCCCCCCCCCCCCCCCCCCCGAAAATTGACGAAATCAAGTCCTTCGGAAAAACGACCATACTCCTAAAATTGCCTATCTATCCAAAATGAAATATAATGCAAAGAGCAGGGGAACATCTTAAGGATCACGCTATTAGATAACGGAAGTTTCGACTAAAATGCTTTCAATGGAAAAAACAGAAGCAATTTAATTTAAAACAAAAAAAATAAATTGACTACCTGCCAATCTAATCCATTATAATTAAAAGTTATATAATGTGATACATATTAAATAATTATACACAAAAGAATATTACGTATAAAATAGAGACTTCATGTAAGAAGTTAAGTTATACTTGTTGATATCATTACCTGTCTTATATATGATCCTTCATAACTATTTATCGTTGCTTCAAATACGTCATTGCTGTCCCTTCCATTAGTAGGAGCTTCTTGTAATTTCTTTTATAAGTATAATGTAAATATAGATTAATACTATCTTATTATATATATATATCAGTTCTGCAAGATATGAATTTTAAAACCTTTTAAGGATTTGGAACTGGAAACTTTATTTACTTTACGTTTATTTTATCAGAGTTTACTATCTAAAATTAAACACTTAAGAAAAATATCAAACTATCGAGACAGAGTTCAGTAAGTCTTCTCTAACGTACTACCCCCACCCTCCCCAAACTGGCCATCTACATAGCCCATCACCAATCTTTATTCTAGTCGGGCCACAAAGGGGTACGTGAGGGGTATTCCGCCATCGAGACAGACTCATCCGCCATCGAGACAGACCCATCCGCCATCGAGACAGAATCATCCGCCATCGAGACAGACGCATCCATCATCGAGACAGACGCATCCGCCATCGAGACAGACTCATCCGCCATCGAGACAGACCCATCCGCCATCGAGACAGACTCATCCGCCATCGAGACAGACTCATCCGCCATCGAGACAGACCCATCCGCCATCGAGACAGACCCATCGTCCATCCACTCGATTGACAATTCGGCATCAACGTAGCAACACCAGGCCGCTGGTGGTGCTGCTTTCACAGCATTCGCAGTCGAACTTTCTAGAGGAGTGGGATATATGTAACGTCCCTAAAACACCACTTTCCCATCCCGGTGTTGCGACAGAGGCCCTCTAATATGCATTCTAAACATGGTTTCTACTTTGTGGCTAGCTCACATTGTAGCTGGGACGAAACATTTATTGCCTAGGAGCAGTCCTCGCAAAGGCTTCAAAGCAGTCTTAGTATGGTAACATTTATGTCATTTATTATTTTTTTTCATTTCAACAATACTTGTTGATTCTTGAAGTCCGGTATTATACTTTGCAATTAAATTAAATTTTTGTTTGTCATTAGATCATTCCTCCTACCAATAAAACTATACTAGGTTTGTTTGTGTTTAACACACACGGGTAAAAATTTAATAAAGAAAACGAACAAGAGGTAAAGATGATTTTTCCTCAATATTTCTATTAAGAACAAGGTATTATTTATAAATAGTAGTTGATTTTGTTTTTTGACCTGTGTTGTTTAAGACACTCGAAGGCCTCATTTCAAAAGAACATTGATGTCTTATGTTTTTTTAATCATCAACAGTTAAATATTTTTTTTATAATGTGTTCATAGAATATAATGTAAATATTCGTTTATTTTATATTTTGCCCTTCCAACGCTCTAATGCCCCGTCCTCAGCTTACATCATACATAAATTATTTCATCTAACATATGTTAATAATAAGGTTTTATTTCTTTTTTGTTAAACACTATAAAATAACACCAATCCAAAACATTTGTGTAGAGATAACGGACGTTTAACCCTACAGTTATTAGGGGCAAAAAATAATTTGAATATTTGGTATGAGAGCAGAAAAAAAACATGACTCTCAAATCCTACTCGACTTTAGATTTCCCCTAAAGATAATCTTTTTAGTTTAAATCGAGGGTCAATCGCTAATGAGATTTTTACGTTTGGTTCGAGTGTGGTTTTGTGCCATCGATGGCACCTGCCATTTTTATAAGAAAGTCGGTGAAAATGAAGGTGTTATTATTATGACATGTTAGCATATGTATCATTCGTTTACTTTTAAAAAGTTTTTAAATATGAATAAATATTTATTATTTCTTCCTGTTCATCAACGCCATCATCTGCCAACGTATATGTCGTTTTACCATAATCACGTACTGTAACTAATTTGGTTAACTTTATCTGATAAGAATAACAAAATAAAATTAGTACAACCTGCATACATAGGCATATATTTCCATTCATTCTTTTTAAAAGTTGTATTTTTTTTATATTTACTTGTCCTTTATTTATTTTTTCTATGATTACTATTAAATACTCTTCTTGGCAAAAAAGATAAATATATATTTTAAAAATAAATATAAAAAATGACTACTAGGAAAGTTATAGATATTTGAAAATATATTTAAATTGATTTCATAACATTTACTAAAATCATACAAACTCATACAATCATAAGTAACTTAGAACAACATGTGGTATATAATCTAAAGAATCTGCAAGAAAGCTATGAAAGATGTAGTTGATGATATTGAGGAAATTCCAAGTAAAGTATAGATAGTTATAAAACTTAACTAAAATTTTAATAAGCATTTAGATACAATTATCATTTTCATAAATCTTTAAAGCTACGTGGAACTAGAACTACATAGAACTTTCTGGAAAACTCTAAAATAAACTTTAAACCTTTTATATAACTGGTGAAAAGTCTCGTCTATTTAATTCACCTAAAACAATATTCTGCAACTGTTGACGATTTTACTAACATTGAAATAAGTGCCCTGTAAACACTCTTAGAATACAAAATTTTTGTTCTATTCAGTTCCATGGATTAGTATCATACGAATAACATAAGATACTATTCTATAGCAAGCCTATTTTGTTTTCAATGTTTTTTGATAATCGTACTAAGTATCCGCATACCTTTTCTTCGCTGCTACGAAGGTGCTTGCGACATTTTCGCCTGTAGAGAAAAAACATTTCTTTTGGCCACATACTAGGTTCTTTATTATAGTTATACTTTACTTTTCAGTCAGTAAAACAAATATATATATATATATATATATATATATATATATATATATATGATATATATAATATAAATAATTAGTTACAAAAAAAATCATTTTTCTTAAAAGTTTTTTTTTTTTTATTTTTTTATATTATATTTTTTTTTAAAAAAAAATATATATATATATATATATATATATATATATATATATATATATATGATATACATAATATAAATAATCAGTTACAAAAAAACTAATTTGCCTTAAAAGTTATTTTTTTTTTAAATTTTGATATTATAATTTGATTTTCATTTAACAGTTTAAAATAATCAAGTTCTTATTATGTGAACAAATTTGGGATATTTTCATTACTTTAGGCGAGTATTAACTTTTTTTTTAATTTTAGAATATTGATTTTTTAATGCTCGAATTAGTTTAAGTTGTAGAATTAACATAGTGCAACAGTCCAGTTAATATAAAAACAGCAACATATATCTAAGTCTACAGAGAGAATAGCGACTTGCCGTCTACTAGCTGAAAAAAAACTCCGGACCAGATAAATATCAACAGAAGAAACTTACTGCGTAAATTCCCATTTGATCTTAATTAACCAATGTTGCCTTACCAGCAAAAGGTAATAAGACCAACGAGCCCACCAACACAAAGTATACTCGGTATCATTCCGTACACCAATTTTGTGAAGTCTGATGTTTTAAATAATAAAAAATAATGTTACTTATAATGCAATAGATTATATCTGAATGTTCAGATTAAATATAAACTAATATAGAATAATATATATATTAAAACATATTATGACAGTGACTAATAGTTGTAAAAATTACTTAGACAAGAATTTGTACACTGAGTTGCAATGTATGATAAATTACGAAGCTAGGTTTTTTTTTCCACTTGTGCCAATATTTTAATATGCTTTAAATTAGTTTGTCGCTTTACCAATGTTTTCGAAAGTTCCACCATTATCTGTTGTGATGTTGCATTCGGAACCGATCTCTATTTATAAATATAAAATACGGAACGAAATGATTACCAAAAAGCAAATAATTGATAGACTGCATTCACATTGTTTAAATGAAATATTAGGACAAGTATGCTAAATTTCAAATAATGGACAGGAGAAAAGATATTTGTCTATTAATTCAATTTTAGCATATACATTTTTCTTATTTATTAGTTACCAAAAAGCATCGGGTTTTAAACGTAAATATATTTACATATATATAAATATACGAATAGTTATTACAACAAAATGTTTATTTTCTTGTAATATATATTTTTTAAATCTGCATTCTTTATTTGTAAATTAATTTTTTTTTTAAATGCATTTACCATAAACAATGTAATATTCTAATACATGTTTAAAGATTTTATGTTATTCAGTAAAATGTTCAGAATGGTGAAATCGCAAACACTTACATTATATTTGAGCGAAGCTAAAAAGTCATATCTAACAACATGGCTCAGCATCCATTTCAATTTAACAAATAGATTTGATGCGCCATGTTCGAATTATTCAAAGTTTATAACAAAACAATTTACTTATTCCCTTTCACGTTTTTATTTCATTTTTCAAAGCATTAATTATGTTTTCCCTTAAAACTTTCTCACACCTACAGTCACCGGACATTTTGGCTTGTCCTGTGAGTTGATATGAATGTATTAATAATTCTTTGTTACCTAATAGTGACCGCATGTCACGTAATTTTTAATGTCCTTGGCAATCCAGTAATTTAAAGTTTTATCTCGATGACCAGATGACACAGGCTTTAATCGTTTCATTTATCTATCACAATATTACCTGAGAGTAGCCTCTAAAACTGACAAAGGGAAAATTTATTTAAGTTTGTAGTGAAATAATATAAATCTTAATAAAACTACTGACGTTTTTAAATATAGTCTATTCTTATAAAAATCTAATTGATTAGGAATCTCTATTAAATATTATTTGATCGTCATTAAAATATATCACAGGTTTTAACTTATAAATTCAAATTTGTATTGGTAATTAAATAAAAGTAAAAAACAAAAAAGATAATTTCCCACAAAGATTTTACTCTTTCAAATTATTTGTGATTACAAGTTGATTAAATGTTATAATTTTTGAAGAGACATGAAGTGTTATCATCAACTGAAATTCGGGTGTGAGATTATTTACTTGGAATAACACAGCTTAACAAATCGATGTCATGAGAGTCGAATTCTAGCAAACCCCCCACCCCCGCCCCAAGCTTCATGGTCACTGAAAACATATGACTGGAAAGAAATTTCTATAAACCTAACTTTACAAACCGAAAAAGTAAACAAAATCTACCATGTGAAGATGCTGTTTCTCAGTTTTCAAAAGATTTCAATTTATTCTTAACTAACTGAAACATGCATTTATAGCATTTCTGTATTATTCATAATTTAATAGTGTATAAAGCTTTTGATAACAAATAGCTTATGACGCTCAAATTCAATCGAAATAAATTAGTATTACCTGTTATTTCTGGTAGTTTAATAGTGTTGCTTTGTACTGAATCTGTACGGTCCTCTCCAAATAAACGCGCGTAAATGTTGACGCCGCTGTTCTCTTGTGATGCATCTACTTTGACAGTAATCTTTACAGCACCTTTTCCAACAATAACACAGTCAGGGGATTTCACGTTCGGCAAACAATTTGATGCAATGTTGAAGTCACTCAACTGCAATAAAGTCAGTGAATTTTTTTTTGACCCTTTAAAATGGAAATTGTGTGTTAACAGAAAAAAACAAAAATCGTCGCTGAAATTTCTAATTTACTTTCATCTAATACTGAGCCATTGACTTTTTTTTTTTTCTTTCAAATTTTATTTTTAAATTTGAATTTTTTTACATATAACATTCAGTATGTTATTGAAAACAATGTTTACTTAACTCTCAAAAGACTGTAGATTTTTCCATTTTTTAATGACCTTGAATATATCTTATTCTTCAAAGTGTCTCGTGACTGTAATTTTGTAGCTACCTCCAAGTATTATATATCATTTTAAAGGTAATTGGATGCTCTTTAATTGATACTTGGTGTTTGTTCAAAATATCCTTGCTAAATTTGATGTTTTATTATTTTTAGGCAAAAAAAATATTTTTTTAAGTCGACAAAAACATAACATCACAGTTTTACAAAGAAGGAAAAAAAAAAGTGTTTCCAATTAAATCAATAAAATTGATAATTTATTAGAATGTGTTCAATACTATAAAACATATTCAAATTTCAAAAGAATAGACTCATAAATAAAAAAGTTATGACTATTTGTAGGCAACAGATCATTCAAGGAAATATTGCTCAAAAAGTCAAAATTATTTTCAAAAAATAATAATAATTTTTTTTTTCAAAGGAAAACATATACTGCATCATATTATCCTTTAGAGGGTTATTAGTAAGTATTATTTGAGAAGAAAAGTTAAGAAAAAAGGCACATTTTAATAAATAAACATTTTTTATGCATCCCCGAGATACCGATCAAAGGATATAATCCTTCGCCAAGACCATGCATAAAAATTCTTGAAAACAATTTCTTTATTTATTAAAACATAAAAATGTATCAAAAACAAAGCCTGTGACATATGCTCTGACCATTTTACCCTGTTTTGGTAACCCACAATTACATTTTTTGTTATTGTCATGTTGCGGCGCACGATGTAAAGATTTCGGGCTTTACAGTATCAGGTTTATCATCAAATATGTCAATTGTTCCCTAAATTGTTCATTAATTGCTACATTTTCTTGATGCTGATACAGTTGATTGTATTTTGCATTGAGATACAGAAGTGTCTCCCAATTGTACACAGCATGTTTCCTTTATTTTCAGTATCAGAAACTTTTAGGAAACTCAATATAGCCTTGAATATGTCCTTAGTACTAATGGCCTTGCTCATTGTCCATCATAAAAGGATTTCCTGGACATTTCTTGTAAAATTAAGAGCTTGATAAGTCCTGCATTCATAATAAATCCACTTAGTAGATAAAACTCCCCTTCAATGATGTTATAATGGTACCAATTTTTGAAAACACAAAAGTTCTGCGGTCCATTGTCCTGCGCACAAGGCTTACTAATAACCAACCAAATCTGTAGTAAAGTAGAGGTTGAAAATGTCAATTTGCTTTTAAAATCTCCTTATATCCTCTCTTGTTATAACATCAGGAAGCAATAGTGCTTTTCACCTCTGGTCTAAATGCAGCAAAGAGTCCCACAGTCTTTTGTCATCATAACCCATTGTATTGACTATGTTTGACATCTGCCCTTCATAGATGCTGTCAAAATATTTTAAAAAAAATTAGTTTAGCTAAAATAAAAAAATTAAAATATAAATAAAAAGAATTCAAAATAATAAACAATCTGCCTAAATTACTTTTACTTCAAGTTTTCATTGAAAAGGGAACACAGCTGATTGTTACAGTGTAATAATAGCCTTGGCCTTGAGAACCATTGTTTACATTTTGCTAACTGAAACGTAATAATATTAAAATAATTGTATAACTACAAATTAGTTTCAAACAAATAAATAATTTAATCTATTTAAGAATTTTATACTACTGGAACTTGAATAAAACTAATGTTAGGGCTAATAATAGTGCTAAGAAGTATCACAGTATGCGTGAGTTGAGTATGAATGAAAAAAGTAAACAAACCTTGGATGCTATTATTATGATGATAATTTACACAATTCTCGGTATCAGACACATATGAAGTGCTATCTTCATCAAAAATATTCCTCTAAGTAAGAATAGTTGTCCATTTCAAGCTTATAATCAGAATCAGATTCCATAGCAATGTTTTAGAGTGTAGTAACAGTGAACCGGAATTGTGGCAAAATATGAGTAAATGGCGAAAAGGAAAATTTATGAATGGACAAGTTGCTACCAGATTTCTTCAAGAACTAGTAAAATAAACGATTTTTCTTTCTTGCCAAATAGAAATTTAACATTCCAAAATAATAAATCTTTATTTTCGCCTTTTAATATTATTTTTATATATATATTAGGGGTCCTTTTTTTCACCCGCCATATATGACCGATTTTTCAATCTCCCGTCTTTTGAGAGTTAATAACGTTAAATTCAAGTTTAGATTTTTTTTTCAAATAGTTATTACACTACAAATAAATGTTGTTGTTGTTTTTTTGTTTTTTTTTAATTTAACAAATTGAGAAGATGTAAATGAGTTGTTCATCTTACTTTATTTTTTACTTGCAGTTTTAATTTTGTTCGGGCTAATTAGACACAAATGTATTTGTTTTCGATTTATGTATGCTTAGGATCAAACCTTTAGTAGCCATTAGCATCAATTAAACATGTAAATTGTTAAACTTAACATTACATGACATTAAGTAACACTCACATGGGTGGAGCTGCCATCAATAACATTTTGTATGCGGAACTGCACGTGAATGATTGATTCATCTTCTGAATAATTCACCAGACATGTCAACACAATTGTATGGTTGATGCTAGCATAACCGGGTGTGCAGTTTATCGTATTGGGTTCAAGGCCATAGTCAAGCAGTGTTATTTTCTTACCATATATAAAAGCTATAAAAGGAGTAAATGAACAAAATATTTCTTTCTAAGGATTTTATGATTCGTACATTAGTAAATGAATAAAGACATAGCTATATTTAATAATTTGTTATATTATCATAGTAACACACATTTCATCGACTACCTTAAAATTGTCCATGTTTTCAAAGATTTTCATTGACAACATCTATTATTAAGATAAGATAAGATTCTTTTATTAATCTAAAACAAATGGAAATTATGTTTTGTATTTTTTTTCATTGTAAATTTTCAGCACATAAATAACAAAATTTGAGTACAAGACATATATATAATATATATATATATATATATATATATATATATATATATATATATATATATTTCTATATATAAAAAAAAAATTTTTTTTCAATGTAAATTTTAAACATAAAAATAAAAAAATATGAGTAAAAGACATATATATAATATATATATATATATATATATATATATATATATATATATATATAAGTATTTCCCTAGTTAAAAAAACAGCCATTCAGTGAATTCTCTTAGCCATATCAGGGTACATATACTCTTAAAAAGGTAGGGCGTAGCCCACAGAGCACCCTTTTTCATTATTTTTTTATGTACGCAGAAAGAGCATGTAAAACAATGCTTAAGTTATTGGTTGCAAATTAAATGACTGCAAGTCGCAGAGGCCCAGCTGCATTTAGAAAGTCATTGGCTAACACAAGAAAGCTGATCGATTACTTGATTTTGTTCATCTCTAGTAAAATTTAGTTTGCATTAGAGAAAAGCTTGGCATGTAAAAACTAATGGCATTTCAATGCATATCAACAGAAAAAAAATAGTTTTATATCTTTTTTAATGGAAGTTTCTGTTAATATTTTTGTCATTTTTTAAAAGTTTGATTATCTTAGAAAATGCTCTCTGAACTCCTACGTTGTGCCACCTTTACTTGTATGCATGGGTCTAGGCCTAAACTTAATAAGTGGTAAGTGTTAATATTGAAAAGGAAGTTATCTGCTGTAAATTTTCACTGATCTTTTAAACATGTTATCGACGTTAACATTTAAAATGTGTTAACTATAAGATTTTATCTAATTGACAAATCCTTTGCAGATGTTCAGGGGACATGTCAAGTATGATGTCCAGCAGTTATGCTTTTAACAGCGCTGTTCAAATAACCTGAAGGTAGCTTTTTTTTTCTTTTATATGTTCTATAGATTCTAGAAATACAAGTCAACAGCCGCATTATTTTGTTGGTTTTTTTTCACATTTTTTCTTAGCAATTTTTGTAAAAACACGATACACTTTTTTCAAAAAGGTTGACAATAATTATTAATTTACCAAAATATACAAATAGCTGATAGTATTCATTTACTTACCAAATAGACATATTACTGATAGGAGCTTGATCAAATAATTCATGATTTGTAAAAGCACAATGTCGTGTCCTCATATTCGAGATTCTACAAGAGAATATATAGTTTGTAAATGAGATTAGAAAAGAAAAGTTGATTTTTTTTTATACAAATATTTTTTTAAAATACGAAAATGTTATACATATTTAGCCTACAAAAATTAAAGGGGTAACCATTATAAAGAAATGACTCTTTGCCAGAGGATGATAGGAAAAGCGTGCATAAGAATAGAGTTGACTTGTGTCATTTAAGTTATAATATCAATTTTAGATAACGCTCTCTGTTAAAATTTTCCACTTAAAAAAAATTAGCTTAGTAAATAAGTAAACAAATGAGAGTATCATTTGTCAATGTATATATTTTTCCGAATTTTAGTAATAATTAGTTTCGGTCTGTAGCGATTTAAAATAAAACATAGTTTAAAATATGGCCTTGCTTTGAAACTATTGCAATAGTTAATAAATGATCTAAGATCACTGACCTGGGGAGGGGTGTGGATGGGGGGCTCTAGCTCAGGTTGGAACTTTCTTTTCTATATATTGAAGGGTGGTGTTCTCCAACCAAATGCAGAGTTATTTATCATCGGAGGGGTGAACAAAATGTCCCTCCCCGAAGGCTATTAATCTAGCTACCCCACTGTCTATAAAGTAATCAGTATCATTGATTTGAAAAAAAATTAGCAAATTTATTATATATATTTATATATTTAAAAATATTATTAAAACTTACTTTTATTCCTGGTAAATAGTAGTTGTTTTTCACAAAGGAACAGAAATAAAATTAATTATTTTTATTCAAATAATCCCGAAAATGAACATTAAATTAAGATAATCCTAGTAACGTTTCATCTAAAGCTTACTTTAGATCATTATCTTTAATTGACTATTTAACACGCACCACTGGTTTCTTCAAGTTAAAATGTACAAATATTTCTAAAAAATAATGTAATTAATCATAAAAAAATATTTCACTTGTTTAACGTGGCTTAAATGCCTTTAAAAATAGGCCTGTATTGTAAATATTTTCGGGAATATATTTTTTTTCGTTTTCTTAATTATACATTTCATTGTAACTAATAAAAACTTTAAAATAGAATAGTGACACATTATAATTATAAAATAGTTTAAACGCTCATGTTAAATTTTTAAAGTATTTTTTACATTTATTTTTCTTTAGTGTGTTCCTTTTAGGTAAAATGCCAGTTTCCATTTTTAAAAAAATCGGATATACGTGATTGTTCACTACCGGTTATAATAGTATTAAAATAGTACATTAACTGAATGAAACAGTGCGCAATAATCGGATATAAAACGTAAAACATATTTTTGATAAAGCTTACCAATTTCATGATTTTTAAATACCAAGTCAGCGATATGTCAAGGAAACATAACGAGCTATTTTATAACGCGCACTTCTGCTGTAAACTCACATTCCCATTCGTATGAAAATGAACTATGAATAGACCTTCCGGGTTGAAACCAGGAACGAATAAAAGTAGTTCTAAGAGGCGTAACTACATGGTGAAGGGGTAACTCCTCAGGTTGAGGTTATTTATGCTAATGTATTACCAGCTTTATTATATATTAGTTGTGTGATGGAGAGTCACTTAGTTAAGTTACACAAATAGGCATTAGTTAAAAAATAAAATATAAGTCCTTGAAAAGATTATTATCCTTAGAAAAATCATGCGGTATTTTTCGCGCTAATAAATACTCTGTATGATTGCTATGTCTTACTTGAATCTACATTATTGTTATGTAACAACGCACATAGAAGATTTTTTAAAACACAACAAGGTCAAGGAAATCTAAATTTTTTACTAAAATCTCCATAATAGTTGCATTTATAAGCCTAAAATAACTTGTTCCACTATTTATTAACTTTACACTACTTGCAGTCCACATCAAGTAGTTACGCACTGCCTTCTATTGTGAGAAATTTATCTCTTATTTTTAAAATGTATGGCTCGTTCAAACAGTGCCTAACAAAGGAAATAAATTAATAAAATGTATTGCAGTGTAGCTGGTGGTGTTTGTCTATGGTAATGTGGTCATTCAGATTTTTAAAAAAAATAATATGGAGACTTTGTTAACTCATCGTTACTAAATTTACCTAAAAACATAACTAACCCGACTGAGATTATCAGAGAAAATAGCACCTCTTAAGTTAAATATAATTACTAGCTTACAGATTTATGAAAAAAACCAATGTGGAAAGTATATTTTATGCCCGTATCAATGGTAAATGACGGTTGTTAGATTTGTCTGGCCAAAAAGTCAAACTATTTCACAAAGGACGTCCTTTTTAATCACATGAAAGTAATTGCATTTAATTTAATATTAAGCAATATTAGAAAGAAGCAGACTACAACACCACTTTAACAATATGAAACAACCAATCTTACGTATGATCATTTCTGTGAATATTGCATTGATTGCCAAATTGACATTAGGTGGTAAGTCTTTCTTTTGTTGTTTTTTTTTTTGTGTAAATTAAAGTCAGCAATTATTAGAAGATATAATGTTCAATATTGACTAATTCTTTATTTTTTTTTATTATTACTTGTTTTCAGGACCTATAATTAGTAAAAGTAAAGGTAATCATTTTAATCTGCACATAGAATTTATGACTGACACTATTGACACTAATGGCTAACTCTAAATAAATGATAACACATTTTTGTTTCATTCTTTTATTTCTAAAAATGACCGGTTTTAATTTAAATTAAAAACAGACACTTTTCAAAAGCTGTCTTAAAAATATCAACTGTAATTTATAGTATGTTGTATAATATGATAGTAGCTGTTCGAACATACATTGTATAACGAAGGGATCGATAATAGAGAAGTTTTTAAAATGTATAAAACCATTACCATAAAGAATAAATAACATCTATTGCATGCAATTCTAACGTGAAAACCCTACAAGAAGGTAAAGTGGTCATAATAGACAAACTATATTTTCGTAAAGATGGCACTGAGACTCTTAGTAAAATAATAATATATTAACCCTCAAGGCTTTGGTCTCTGTGACAACTAACCACTTAATCCTGCCCACATCAAATTTATTATACACCACCACTCACTCCAGTTCACCGAGCAATATTCACAAATAAAAACCTGAGACAAGCATGAACACAACTCACCAAGGCAATCAACTTGACAACAACACAGGGCTACACAGTGGGTCACTAAGTCCAGCCAGTACCAATAATAACAATACTGGTCAGTTACATAGTCCCCTTATTGTCACAAAGACATGGAAAGTTAAGGCACAAATGCAATACCCAGGCTTTGAAGCATTGCTAAACTAAATGATTGAAGAAGAAATTAAATGAGGAATAAAAAACATTGCTAATTTACAATAAACCCTTTGCGTTTATCTTCAAAGGTAATTAAACAATGCCCTGAGTAGACGACATAAATTCGGATGAGAGCTCCTAACAGACAAACATTACACTTTTTAAAATGGCTATTTCACTATGTGGGTTCAAAAGAACAACGTAAAAATTAAAACCTAAAGGAGATACTGTAGCAGTCTTTTTTTTTAACCCTCACTCAACCCATGTTTAAGTGCGGTTCAGACAGCTAAATAATACACTAACTTTATGAAAAACTGTAAAAATTGGTACATAAGTCCTCACCTTAGTGATGGAATTATCCAAAGAAAGCTTAAAATTCAGTTCTATCAATTATTTCAAGTAATAGGGGCAGCCAAACATCTTCAAATGTTCCTAATGTTTATTTGGAATTATAAGTAAAGAAGAAATCTTTCTGGTTTGACTAAGCCGTATAAAATAATTTGTAGCATCTTTACGTTACTGCAGAACGCCTTTAAAAAAGAGGCAAAATTTTGGTTTTTAGACTGCTTAACAAGCCACAATTAACCTTCTTAATAACAAGATTTTAAACCTTATTCCATTTTAAAAATTGTATGTTGTCATCTGGAACTTAAAGCTGTTACAACGTTATATATTTTTATGTAACAAAAGTCAATATTCTCTTAATTTTCTTAATTAACAAATTAAAATGATGAAACATGATGAACTATTGTTGGTTTTTCCCATCGTACAGAATGTACGTCTCTATCTTTGTCGTGTCAACCTGCTGAAGAAGGCCATAGAACATCGATAGTCTTAAGAAAGAGTTTTCATCAACAAAACATCATTGTTACGGTCGAAAGGTTTAATTACACAATCGCGCGCTGTGATTTTCTTGGAGACTGCCGAGATTTCTTCCCAAAAGACTTTAGAACAACGTTAAAGGTCAACAACACAAGTTTTGATGTAAACATAACAGTGTCCGTGTTCAATACATCCATGCAATTGAAAAGTATTGGTATCTTGTACATAAGAAAAATTTATCAACATGTAATGTGCTTGTGTTTGGTAAGTATTTAAAAATATTATTCAGTTTTATGATCATAAACATTTATTAATAAGACACGAACAAATTGTGTCAATAGAACAATATGAGTTAGCTTTAATAATAATTGTACATTATACAGAATTAAACGTTTCGGCACATGCCTTCATCAGTTTTCATAAACATTTGTATGCGTAAGTTATTTATAAGTTGTCAGCTTCGGAATAAAGATAAAACTGTTAATTATTGCTATAAATAAATGAGGTTATAATTCCACTTATTTCAATACCAGTTAGTTATTATATACATAGTAGGTCACCTTAAAATCACATTAAATCTGTTAATAAAAATAATCTAATAAAGCTATATATTTTATGTAACAAATATTGTTTTAAAAGGGCTTATATGCCTGCATCAGGCTCATAGATTGGAGCGGGAAAGAAAGGACATTCTAATATGAGTTGAAACATTTTGTTCACATTATAATATAGTCTAAGAGTCACTGGATGCAGAAAATTGAATGCTTGACAGTTATATTTAAATACTTCAACAGGTAAAGACGTTTAAATGAATAAGTATTAAAATGGAAAACAGCTGGAAACTATGATTAACTTTTTTTTTTTAAGTCATTTTTTTTAAAATAGAGATTTCTAGTTGTTTCTTTACCATCTCTATTATTGCTATGAACCGGGAAACCCAGTTCAATACCTTCGTTGTCGAGGTTAATTTTCTTACTTAAACTTACATTTTATAGATCAAACGTATCTTTATTAAATGTACAACTCCGAAAATCTAATACCCATAACTGCTATCATTCCTAAACTATAATAATTGCCATTCCACAAAAACAACAACGTCATTATCCTTACGCTAATACGTCAAAAAAATTACAGTATATAGCAAAAGCTACATAAATACTCTGTGACTCAAACATGCAAACACAAAACAACTCACGATCATCAACTTTACATACACTCATTCACATCCATCAATCTAGTTCACAAAAAGTATGTTCAGGTTCTCTAAAATGTGTATTTACTTTTCTGAAAATAAGTTCAGTATATAGAGGCTTTGTCATAAAATGTATCATAGAGTTACTTGTGTGTATTGAGATCTTGTTCAAAAATTGCAATGCTTTTCTAGTCAGCAAGAGCTCGCATTATTTCATGCTCTGAAGCGATATCAAATGAAGGACTTCAAATTATATATTACTGGAGCTCGGCCATTTATCCTGAAGCAAATGCCCGCATATCTATTTCGTTTCGAAGATTAATTTTTTAGATCAAATAAAAGAAACTATTTTTTATTCTTTTTTTACATTACAGCATTTATAAATTCTTATGTTCGCCACTAGTTCGTTTAAAAAAATTATTTTTTTAAAAAACGTGCCTTAATAGGAGTTCTTTAAATCTTTACAGGTCATAATTATTTCATTTTTTTTTAATGAATTGAAAATATTCTGTACTCGAAATATTTCTCCCGTTTAACTTTGCACTACTTTGATTAACATGTAAGTTGTTTAAATTCATAGGTACTCCACTTTTTCAAGTTTTTTGGAAACCTAGTCTTAATTTTTCTAAACGTCATATAATTTACCGAATAACCAGTCTATAGCCGTATTTCTTTATCCTGTAAAAATCATTTCTTCATATTGTTTTTGTCTTTATGTATGTATATATATTATATAAAATATAAATAATAAATATATAAATGTATATTTTAATATATATATATATATATATATATATATATATATATTGTTCAATAGTTAAGCGTTGCTTCTGGTAAAATTATCTAAAATTGAGTGTGTATTTTTTCTTCAGGTGGGGAATTTAATTTCAGTCACCTAGAAGAGTTATGTCAATCAAAATCTTCCTGGTGACCCAACATATTACAGACCCAATTGTTCTTTAACAATATCTGTTGATAAGCTTATCCCAGGACAATATGATATACTGTTGACTTTGTATCCCAACGTAACGGGTGGTAACACTGATCTAGCTTTTGGTACAAATCATTCGTTTTACATCACTTTAGGTAAATTCATTACTACGTTTTAATCGTTTTGATATTATACATGTTAAAATTAGCAACAGCCAACATTGTTTACGTTCAAGCGTGATCTGGTATTATAACATGATACATGAGACATAAAATTGAGCCTATTCTGATAACTTTTCAACATATTTTAAAACAATTTTGCTAAATGAAATATTTCTTTTTTTTTTTTCAGATTTTATGCGGCTTAAATTT